GACGGTTCCGAGAACGAGGCTATTGTGCCCGCTTAATTGAGGTGGCGGCGACGACGGTGAGTGGGTGGGTGGGGGCGGTCGGGGACCGCTATCTGGTTTTCGTAACAGTTTTTATAGAGCATGTTTATTCCACGGTAATAAAATGGAGAATTTTTATCACTTGTCCAATATTGCACCGTTGAGAGGGTGTCATCTACATTTGTTAGGAATATATATATATATATTATGGATGCAATGAGATCACTCCTTAAATGAGTACGTGAAACTCAGTTTTAGTCACTCATTTTGTCAAGTATTCATGTTAATTAATTAAAGTATATATTAATTAAATAATAAAATAATTTATAGTCGACAAATATATATATATGTGTGTGTGTGTGTGTGTTTAAATGTGTTCATAATCATTTGGAAGAAAGTTACGTCAGATCGATGAAAGTGATATAATTGAATGATAAAAATATTACAAGAAATTGATACATATTGTTGGTAGAGTGTTACATGAGAGTTATATGTAGCATATGTAAATTGATACTAGGTGGTGTTACAATATGAAAAGCTACACTAGATTAGTTAAAGTGATACAATTGATTTAATGAATGCACTCTAAGTAAAAAAAGTGTTACAAGAATGTATAAAATGTGTTAGTTAAGCGTTGTAGTAACATCCCAAAAATGATACTAGTTAGAGCATCTTCAAGAGACTTCTTATTTTAGACTTCTTATTTGGAGAAATAAGGAGTCATCATATATCCATTTGCTTCCTATTTTCTTTTGTTCTCCAAGAGTCTCCCTATTTTATAATTTGAATATGAACCAGGCCCACAAATCTATCTAAAAGCCCACTTGAAGCCCACTTGATATTGTAATTGTTAACGATTATAATAGTAATTAACTAATTTTATAATATTCACTAATTTTTTTAATTATTATAATTAGTTTTTTTTTTTTCCCAAAACGATAGAGGTACTATATTAATAAAAACCGCACAACGTGCGAAGAGAAGCAGCCAAAAGCTGAATAGTACAACTGAGGACTGAAAAAACTGGGAGGCAGATCCAAAGATCGCCTAAAGCCTGACCTAGCAACGCTAGAATAACAAAGCTCACAAACAACACCAACCAACAACGACAAAAACTAAAAAACTAACAAGGCTCCCAACAGGAGAATACCCGAGTAATTATTATAATTAGTTATTTATTATTAATTATTTTCTATAATTTTTCCTTTATTAATATAATATTATTTCTTTTTAGATTATTATTATTATTATACTAATTGTTATTATAATTTATTAATTTTTAATCAAATAAATTATTTTTTGAACAATTTTTATTTTTTTATTTTTTTAATTTTAATTATTATTATTAGTAATTTATTATTAATTATTTGTTATATTTTTTCATGTATTAATATAATATTATTTCTTTTTAAATTATTATTATTATTATTATTATTATTATTATTTGAAATGGGGGGTCGTTTTTCCCACCCCAGAAATGAGGAAGAGAAGCCTCTATTTGAGGTCACCCTAAAAATAGGACCAAGTTTAGGGGAACTGTTGGAGACAGTTTTTGAGAGAAAATCCCTATTTTTGAGATAAAAAAGAGAAATAGGGAGACTCTTGGAGATGCTCTTAGTGTTACAATAGATTATTTAATGTAACATTTATAATAAATGTTGCTTAATTTTACAAAAGTGTTAGATAAAATAATAGGCAGCAAGAGTAATAGTAGCACGCGTGATAAAATAATAGGTAGCAAAGGGCAACAGTAGCACGCGTGAAAATGTTACTCATGATTTATTGTAACATATTTTTAATATTAGGTAATACTTAATTGAAGTTACATAAAGTTGTTTTTTTGTAATTATTTTTTATTATTTTTACTATTTAATTTAAAACTAAAACTACTAGAAAACCATTGTCTGTAAAATTGGTCAAACATCCATATCTTTAGTACACTTAATGCGAAGAATTCGTAGCAATCTTGGAATTATTTCGAGCGATTTTTTAACTAAAAAAGAAATTGATTCCTACCCGTAATGGCTTCATTTTCAACAAATTATTATAGATTGGAAGATATAGTGTCGTTGATAAAACGGAATCTTCTTCGATTTTAAAAAATTATATGGTTAGTTTCCTAATACTTTGGATATAAACTTAATAAACATTCATTTTTTTTTCTGCATAGGATGTCACTATGCAAATTATATATAGAATGCAAGAAAATATTGACATGCGTCATATTTACGTGCATTTTATAGTGATTTTCGTGTCCGTTTCGTCGTAGTTTAATATATAATTAGTTATTATGTAATTAATTATTATATAATTACTTATGTATCTAATTAATTTTATTAAGCTATGATGAAGTGTTTTATTTGAGTTTTGACAGAAAATGGGTTCGAAATAATTTACGGAGTTGAAAACGGCGAGAATCGA